GCGATTTTCTTGAAATTTACACTGAAAAAACAATCTCAAATTTACTACACTTTCAGGTTATTTCAATAGTTGGAATTTTTGATGACAAACCCGAGGAGATCACAAATTTGGTAAGACGAAGGACGATTTATCAGGATAATCTTACCAAATTCAAAAACTAAAATTATGCGGAATTTGCCATAGCAGAAGAAAGTATTGAATGAATAAATTTATTTATTTCGAAAATATAACGATTTGTGTCCTAGTCATGGCAAGTACAATCGATTCTTTATCACCCACAGCGAAGGTAAATGTACCCAGTAGCCTGATGAAGTGAATACAATTGGAGCAATTCCAAAGAAAATGGCCACGGCATTAGGATTATCTGCACCAGCGAATTATACAGGTCATTGTTTTCGGAGATCCTCAACATCATTATTGGCAGATACGTGGGCAGATATGCATGCTCTAAAGCGTCATGGAGGCTGAAAGTCTGATAGCGCTGCAGAGGGATATGTTGACACCGAACTCAAACAAGTAATGAGAAATTGGACGGAAATAGACACGTGATCAGGTAAAAGTAAAGTAGCACCATTTCCAGGGTAGTTTGCAGAGACGCTAAATACCAAACTGTAAAGGACAAAGCCTAAAATGTATAAAAAACTTAAGTGAACTCAGGTGTAGTAAGTTTTAAGGAATCGCTAGAAGAGGAGACAGAATAGAAGTATTAAAATAATTCTGTTCGTTAACACAATTTAATTTAGCTCTTTGACTGACTTATAAATTTCGAGTATTTTAAAAAATTAAGAGCAACGTTTTTGTTTAAAATGTGTAGGATTTTGACATTTAGCCGGATGAAAGAGTGTTTTGTAAAATATGATTGACAAAAACCGAGTTTGTGTTTGTTATGCCTGTGTTAGTATATTGTGAAATTAATTTATAATAAAATAATACTATTGAAAATTACATATTCAAATATTTTAGAAATTATTGGTAAAATAGCTGTTGGTTTGTAATTGTGCAAACGTCTTCTCATCTGAACATTTCCTTTATCTAACTAGGTAGTACTGCATTCGTACTACTTCCACGCACAAACTTTTAAATTGATCATGTCCTATGAATAAACGGGATCTCGCCTCCTATTTTAGAGTCTACTTAGTTGGTGCTGCGCTTCACATTTGGTAATCCTGAGATAGACCTATTTGCATCCTACCTAAACCATAAATGCATGACATATGTACCCTGGTCTGTAAACCACGACTCACTCACGGTAGACGCATTTGCCCTGTCATGGAGCCAATTCTTTTTCTATGCGTTTCCACCTTTTTCTCGTATATTGAGAATGTTAAATAAGAAAATTCGTAATAGAGCAGAGGGTATCTTGGTAGTTCCGCAATGGCCCACTTTCTTCTCCTTTCAGTCTAGTTCACCCACTGACAGATTCCCTTATGTTGACGGCAGGACTTGTCTCCGGCAGGCATATAAGCAAGGAAATTTGCTTTCCTCGAAACAATGATAAATTCCTTAGCTCCAACCACATTAAAACAGTATCAGGTCACCTACAAACTGTGGTGGACTGACTGTAATCAAAAAGCCGTAACTCTATTCTGTTCTACACATGTTGAAATCTTGAGTTTCTTCCAATACTTACTAGATACATTGACACACAAGTATGCCATATTTAATTCTGCCCTTGCTCTAATATTACCTAATGATGTTGGTAATAACATTTGCATAAAGCGGTTTTTGAAAGGGGTTAAACGACAAAGACCAACAAAACCGAGATATTTAACAACCTGGGATCCCACAATAGTTCTTCAGTACCTATCTGGTGCGACCTCTGGCCTTTGGCACAACCTTTTCATAAACATTATATGCTCTTATTAGTTTTTTCTGTACATGTATAATTGTATATACATACATACTTTTCAGCTGTGCAACAATATTTCTTTAAACGTCTACCTAATTAGATAAAGAAATGTTCAGATGAGAAGACATTTGCACAATTAAACAGGTTAAACGATTTTATGATGTTCGACCGCAATTGTGCTAGTTTTCTCATCTGAACATTCACCCACCCTAATGTGCAAGAACAGCCGAATATTGTTGCACATTCATTTTAAACTTAATGAAGCGCAGCGCCAACTATAGTCTAAAATAGAAGGCGGGATTGCGGCTATTCAGAGGACGTGATCAGTTTAAAAATTTGTACATGGAAGTAGTACCGGTGCGGTACTACCTAGTTAGATAAAGAAATGTTCAGAAGAGAAGACTAGCACAATTAAGGTTGAACATCATAAAATCGTTTGACTTGTTTAATTATTCAGTAAGTTCGGATTTCCCTTCTTTTTATTCACTGACGTTATTTTAGCTATTTTTAACTCTTCCTGAAACATACCTCTCAAATTACAGTTATTAATTAGGTGAATTATAGGCCCAGCAACATTGCCATTTTCTCATTGCATAATTTTAATTTAAATGTATTTATTTAAACCACAATAATCTGAGTTTTTGTTTTTTAACGCATCATAGATTGTAATTACCCCCATTTAACAAGAATAGTGAGCAACGTATCCTTGGACCTTTAAGAAGAAAATGTTTAAAGTATAAAATAGGATCAACATTGGTAATTAATTTTTCAATTAAAATTATTTTTTCAGTATTGGAAATGAAGAATTTTTATTAAAATAAAAAATTTCCAGAAATTTATGGAGTTAGAAGTTTTCTGATTCAAAAATATACATCAGTTTCTAGATTCCGTTTCTTGGATGGTGGTACAAGACATTTATTCTTAAATATATATGCATTATTCCACGCAATTTGCAGTTTTAGTCTTCTCGCCTCAGGTGAAGTGGAACTGTGGCTATCTGTGAGATCCGCTCTTCGTAGAAGGAATTGCGTTATTCGGCGTAATCGCAGAAGTGACGGTAAGTTTAATTCGTAATACTCTTAACCCTCTTAATCTTCTCGCCTTGGATGATGTGGAATTGCGGCTCTCTGTCTGATCCGCTCGTCATATAAAGAATTTCTTTACTGGGTGTAATCGCGGCAATGACCGTATAGGATTGCATAAGGGCTGTCAATCGTAAGTTGGGGGAGGGTGTTGGAATCGTGTCAGCCGATTTATTGCAACGAGCGCAACCTTTTTATAGCGGTTGTCCCTTCTACTCTGGACTGTTTGAGTGGTGACAGCCAATGAGAGCGCGTTATGGTGATCCGTTGGTGTCACCTCACTTCATACGGCAGCGCCAACGAAAGGGTACTAGCAGAGCACCCCGATACTAAGGGTATTTAAGTTACAATGATTTAAAAAATTATTTACATTTGTATGAATAAAGGATTGTACATTTCGATTCTCACTGCGAGAATTTTCTTTTATATTTATATTATGAATTTAAAATGTGTTTATAGTATCAGTATCATTTCTTGATGTTATGTTATGAAGATGAACACAAAACACGAGTACAAGCAGTGCTGTTTCCATTAACTTCAGGAGTCCCAGGTTGGAAAAACTTTACGGACGAGATCTCGAAACAAAAGAAAGTAACATGAAAAATAATAAATTATAAGTTTGATGTTCACCTTTTGCCGTATTTAAAGGAGTTGTAGAAGAAAAGTGGGGTTGCTGAAGGATGTTCAGATGCTCTTTGTCGCAGATAAGTGAGGATTTAAGTTGATTACTACTTGATGATAGTAACAACCTGTTTTTAAGACGAAGAGGAATAAATCTCATTCAAATGGTAATTGTGTTTTCGACTTAGCTAATCAGAACTCGTAGCACTCGTTGAATTTCGTAACTATAGTTCGATTCTTGTAATTTTGCGTAAGTGCTGAAAACCATCGCAAATAAAACATCTGGGATGTTTCAGTTTCTGTCTTCTTCTAACTCGCTGTGGCTCTTACTACAAAGAATATGCGTATTTCGTAACCCTTTGTCAAATTAAAAGAATCGAACTGTATACGTAGATTAGTTTGGACTATCATAATTTATTTGAAATGGACGATATTAAAAGCGAATAACTGGACCATCATAGATAAAATACTTTTTTTAATGCCACAAAGTTTCATTCATCAGACTGAAATCACTAACGTAAATGATTCATTGATGTTTGATACAGGATGATATAAAATAATTTAGAAGTAGCCAACATGACATCTACATTTTTGGAAAAACTAACTTGTGAAAGTTGAACAAAAAAAAAACTCTAAAATGTTTCAACACTTTTTTGTAAATCAAGCCAAAAATTTATTAAGTTGTCTGTGATTTATCAATTTAAATTGAGTGTAAGCGATTTGCAAGTCCAATATATGTATATTAGGGTGATTCAAAAAAAAAAATAATTTTTTTTTTCGTGCAAAGAGGTTCAAAAGTTTCTTTTCAACGTAAAAAAATACCAGTTAAAATTTGAGCTCTTAATATTAATATTAAGACCGTCCGCATCGCGTTTTTCTATTTCCCATAAGAAGAACATGGGAAAATTTTTGTTTGCACCTTCTGATTTTTATTGCTAGCCCGTCGTGTGTCGTGAAAAAAATTCAATCGCATATTTTTATAGAGAATTGAACGCTCTACAAAAAGTGTCTCCTATGATTGTGCGATTAAAATAGGAGACGTTAAATCTATTTGAATAGAATTTTCATGGATTTGAAGTGATCTGTTCACTCCAGGAAATCTGCATATTCTCTATTATCTAATGTTCCATTTCAAGCTTTTCTCCTTAATCTTGTTATTCCGGAACATTATAATTCGACTCGAATTACCTGCTGTGCATGAATGAATTCCTGAATTTGTAATAATATCTCATTGTTAGTAAGTAGTTCAATTACAGCCTTCCAATTAACTTGCATTTCTGTTTTACTAGCAGATTTCAATTACAGATTATTGTAGGTTCGTTTCGCACTCAAGGGTGAAAATATTTTTGTAAGAGTAAAACATTATCATTAACCGAATTCCGTATTCTTTTCATGGACGCTATATTACTTCACGGCAGTCGTTGAGGAAATTATATCTTTATTATTACCTGCAATAAGGGAAGCGAGCAGTTAGGACCGGGTTTCGTTTCCTCTATGGTAGACTCTAAACCCTGTTCACCCTGTGGTTCTGTATTGTTGTTAGTTGACTTCACCGCCGACCATAAACGTTTTAAGCCGAGCTCTCGTAATGGTTTCTGAAACAAAAAGACGTTTATGTGTATAATCCAGCCGTTAACTAACTAAATAGTTTTGTTGGTATGTACACGATGAGAAGATATACTCAAAAGCTAGATCTCAAAGGAAGCGGAGGTGGTAATGATCGTAGATGTTTACATTAATTTATCAGCAAAATTATATCAAACAGTATTCTTCATTATTGCACGTTTTATATGTAAATTTTTTCTATAACATCAAAAAGTATATAAACGTCTACGTGCAATTTTCCTGCTTTCTGTTAAATTGGGGGTTGTAAGTTGTCTAGAAACTACTTCGCCGCATTTGAGTGACCCATTTCCACAGTGTGCGATTATTGTTTCTGTAGTAATCAAACAACAACAGTTATTTGTATATCAAGAACGCAGAGTGATACTTTGTGCCAGAAACAGAAGGTGGGCGTGCGACAGTCTCTTGAGAATAACAAAGACACTTTGCGTTCATGATACGCACTTCATATTTTTTCCGCAGCGCAGGATAATACTGCAGTAATAAACTAAATTTTAAAAAGATTATTTTCAGTTGCGAAACTCTAGTCTCTGATCGGGTTGAAAAGTAAAATGGTAGTAAAAAGAAAACTGTATTTGAATGAGCACCATCAATAAAATCCTCTCGGGTGTATAGCGGGCTATAACTATACGGGGTGATTCAGTTTAATACTGGCATTTATTTATTTGTGGAATTACTAACAAATATGTCCGGTGAGACATGAGATTAAATAGGTTGACGATCTAGCCTATTCTAATGCAACAATTACAAAGTTTTGGGTAAACGGACAATGAAATTATTTAATTTTGATTACAATGGTCGTATTCCTGGTGGAGCACAATGTTTAACCGAGCCCGAAAACTATACTGTCAAACGTTAGTGAAATATACAAGTTTTCGGTAATATACAATTTAAAAATGTCTCGGATACTCTTGATCCTTTGTTTTTGAATAACTTTAAAAGAACCTTGGGGCCGCCGAATATCCTTTTTAGGAATATAAGCGAATCTTTTCGGGCTTTTGTGTACTATGTGTGAAAGTAGTAGAAAACACTTCGGAAAAGTCTGGTATTTTGTTTTTGAAAATGTTTGAAATAATGTTATGAGTCCTTCGTATCTTTGTTTTTAATATATGAAAGAATCTTAAGGATCACTTGAGGACTTTTTTTAAAGAGTTTGAAATAATCTTGCGCAAACACTTTTTTTTATAATTTTTTATCATCCACTTTTTCCGAAAGTTCGCCGAATAAGTTTTCAATACAATTGATACATGAACACGCAATGTTTCGACTGAGTTGGTCAAAATCTGTCTTCCAGAATTTTCGCCAAAAGGTTAGTTTTCAATACCAATTGTGCTACATCTTCTCATGCGAACACTCTCTATTTAGTTAACTGGTAGCAACGCTACGTAGTCGTTTCTACGCACAATTTTTAAAGTGATCATAACTTTTACATAAAAGTAAAATATAAAGATTCCTTCAATTCCGCAATTATTAAATTGTGTACACATAAAATCTTCTAGAAAACAGTTTTCAAGATTTCGTGTCTAGTATCTTTTACTCGGTAATCAAATACGGGATGATGCTAGAACCTCATGTCTAGTGCTTTTAATTCCATTAGGAAATATAGTTTTTCCCTAGAAATGCTTTTGGGTACGATCTAGAGAGTTAAAGCAGTTAGGATCTCCGACACAAACACTAAAAACCTAATAATAATCTAAATACAAAAACTATTTAGGCCCCAGGGTAGCCTTTATAGACTTATTTTCGTTAAGTTTGTTGGACACGAATAAATTTTCAGCTTAATACAGTTTTATAAACTTAGAAAATTGAAATAACAGTTGTTCCATCAACATGTTAGTGCCTGTTCAAACGCCATTCTTTTAGAATTCTACCAAGAAAATACGATCGGGTAATAAATTGAGAATTCTCTGAGGATTCTATGAACAAGGTCGCATTAGATGTGATATCTAACAATTTATTAATCTCTCAAAATAGTTTTCCAACCGTTTAAGAAATGATTGGGTGTTATCGAATCCCGGAAAAACATTAGAGATATTAATTTATGATTTACCATAAATTTGAATGAAAACTTGGGATAGAGAATAGGTAATATGATAATATACTATCGTATATAGAATGAAAAGTTAATCATGTTGTCTGTTCTTCTCGTGCACCAACCCATCCGAGGACGTAATAGTTGCAAAATTGTAGCAATCTATTTAGCCATGATATAAAATTCAAGGAATTCAAATAATGTCATAAAAATTGATGTAAAATTGATATAAAAACAAAATTTATGAGACTGCCGTGGTACGTACAGAAAAAAATTGCGTGTGAAAAATATAAAATAAAAATTTTCTTATATTGTGTCTACTTTTTCAAAATCTTAAAAATTAGAATTACTAAAAACAATTAAATACGCATGTGCAGCAAGACCTAGCAGGCTATGGGGTTTTACACCCTCCACAAGTCGACAGATAGTTCTGTATCTACGGGATAGAGCTACAAAACCTACTAATACAGAGTTTCTACAAATGATTATCGAGTCGAAGTACGTCATGAATACGTGCCGCCTCTCAGATTTGAACTTTATTAAATGCTCAAGGACGCATGATAAAAATCACACGCATATGTATAGCTGATTGCCTAAATGTTTTATATCTTATTAAAAAATAAAACTAATTCATTACAATAAAAAAAAGCAAATTTATGCTGTTCACCATTTTGTTCAAAGCACGTGTTCACTTCAAAAATGTTCTGTAATACTTTCGTCAATACCCATTGTTCAATTTCATGTTGTAACAGGAACTCCTGACTGTTGAGGAAATCTTGTCAAACATGTTTGCAGATTCTGCTCAGTTTTATTATTTGCAAAATTTATTGTAAAGAAACAGTAAAACAGTACGATGTTACAACTGAAGAAAAAGGATGCAATGACTGCAATGTCAAATTTTTGGAAAAACAAATAGCGTCGCATAGATTTTTCTTTCCTACAAGTCATTGGCATCTGTCACATTTGAAAACTTGATAATAAAATTACCTGACCCCATCACGGATAAAAATCCAAAATATTTAAATATGATATATTTCAATTTTGATTTGACAGAGTATAGCCTATTTTAAATTTCTACATATTATTTCATACACAATACACATTATCCTAAAATCTTTGGATCTCTAGAGCTAGGTCTATATGCGCCGACATAAATCTCAATTGTGACATGGTTCCTCGATACTAGATCGGTTACCGTTGATGCCTTCACGATGTGTTAGTGCTAGATGTCGTTTTTTTTTTCCTTTCAACCCATTTCATGCCCTAGCGTATTCAAAGCGCCTGGCTGTACATGCCCGGGCAAGCATATTTGTAGTCAGCCACATAAGAAAATTGCGTAACTCGATCATTGAAATCAGGCTAAAGCTCTGCCTCCTAGTAACAAGTCTACTTAGTTAGATGAAAAAAGAGTGTTCGAATGAGAAGACGTAGTACATTTAAGCAGGTAAAACGATTTTACGACGTTCTACCTTGATTGTGTGCTGTTCCTCTCATCGTAGCACTCGGTTCCCAACCTCTCCAACCCATATGACAAGCCCTTACGTTACTACCTGGTTAGATAAAGAAAGATTGTTCGGATTATAAAACTGAGAAAAATCGTTTAACCTGTTTAACAATATTATGTAATTTTTGACCTTTACCGAAACACCGTCGAAAATTACAAAAAAATTCCTGTTGCTACTTTTGATCTGTAGAAGTTTCTTACGGCTTCATTTGTTTGAAAATTTCGACACTTTTTCATAATCACTAAAATCAAATACGAAATAATTTAACATATCAATTATAAAAATTTGACTTTAAGCCTGAACATTTTGAAAAGTAGTGACCATAACGACTTCGAATTATTTCCCTCATAGACGTATCGTTCTTGCGCAAACACGAGTTTTTTCGTAATATGTGGCCATCCAATTTTTCTGGGCTTTGTTTTTAAAATAATTTGGAAAGTCCTGTTTTGTCCTTGAAAAACTTTCAATAAATCTTGCAGGCTTTTAGGCTTTTTTAGACTAAATTATAAGAGGTGTCCTAAGACAAGTAATAAAACTCGCAGTATTAAATTTTACAATTTTTGTATGAGGAACTAAACTCGTTTTATTGTCTGTGTTGCAAAAGCGAATGAATTTCTATTTAAATATATAATTTTAAGACAATTTTTTTATTTTACAGACACCAAAAAAATTCAGTATTAAAAGTAATAATACGTTCATCATCAAATACTGAAATTTTTTCAATTGCATAAAAAAATCTAATAAGCGTGCAGTTCTCTGGCAGTTATAGCAGAACTCATTTTCTTCAAATTTTTCATTTAATCTTTGACACGAACGTTAAATTGTCATTATGGGTCATTCTGAACCAAGTGTTAAAATAATCGGAAGCATTTTTACCATGTACGAGATATGTAAATTATAATTAATGTTAAGAATAAAATAACAGCAAATTAAATTTAGCATATAATACTAATTTAATTATGTTTAGACAGTATATATCCAAACAACAATTATTAAGAACATAATTTATTTGGAGCTTAAATGAATTTGAGTAGCGTTTAATCATCGGGTGGGCGATCAATAATAAGTGGATCTGGGAAAGTGCCACGACCACACATCTTTTTTGAAATCTACGTTCAAATAAATTATAAGCATACATTTCGCAAAACAAGTACAACATGCAAGCATTTATGAAATTGGATCTCAGGTTTTACCGCCATTTCGAGTATATTAATCGCAAAACTCTATACTTGGTTGCAAAATTCGAAATGTTTCTTGTAGTCAATAAGAATCACTGCATTCCCAAATATTTGCCGAACAATTCCTGACTACTACTAATTTTATATTTGCAAATTTTTCCACATCGTACTCCATACATTTAACTTCATATACAGGTCTTTAAACTTTATACTTTATAGAAAGTCTGCTTAACATCAGTTTGTCGGTATATTATAAT